GTTGATTTTGATTTTCACTTTCTTATAGTTATTCTTTTTCCTGGTCCCTTATTTAAGTTTTCTAGATTCCTGCTATGAGTGAGACCATCCGGTATTTTTCTTTTTCTTTCTGGCTTATTTCACTGAGCATGATCCCTTCCAGCGCCATCCATGTTGCTGCAAATTGCATGTGTTTATCTTTTTTGAATGCTGAGTAATATTCCATGGTGTATATGTACCACATCTTCTTGATCTAGTCATCTAGTTTTGTGCTGCCCCAAGTTTTAATGATCAGGAGGAGCGGATACACATCCTCTGGGTTCCCACCCCTGTCTGGACCAACCTACCCCAGTCTGAGTCATCTCTCATTCAAGTTGGAAGCTTTAGTTGGAGCCTTGCTTTGGTCCCCAAAATGGTGTCAAAGTTCATGCTCAGCTCCCCTTGCCTCAAGTCAGCTAATGAGGATTGAAAACATCCCTTGGTTTCAGGCCACTGGGTCCTCCAACTGCAGCTGCCTTCCTTTGTTCTTGCAAGTTAGACAGGCAGAGGGGGAGGAAATTGCCCCTGGCCACCCTCTCACCTGCCTTAGAAAGCAGTAACCCCATCTAGAAAGTTCCACAGTCATGTTCAGAAAGTATTTATACTTCCCTGTCACATCAGTCCCCCACTCACCATCCCCCACCTCTGAGCTCCAACCTCTGAGAGATCCTCAGGATGATATATCACCTCTCCTAATTCTCTAATTCTTTACCTCAGTCACCAGTAGGAATCACAACCATCTGTCCCTCTTTTGTGCCCAGAGGAAATGGCACATCCATTCATTCTCTCCCATCTGCTACCCCTACCCTCCATATTCTTCTACCCTATTCTCTGGAACTTTGATATCAGCCACCTCTTAGGCTACTCCTTCTCTGAAGGAGCCAGTTCGCTGTGGAGGGCCCACTGCCCACAGCCCTGAGGGGAGGGCAGGACATAATCCTCTCAACTCTACAGGCAGGTAGCAGCAGGGCCTGAGGGGGAGGGGGTCTTCCTAGGTTCACTAAGCTGCTTCCAAACCACTTCTCCCTTCCTCTCCCCCCTCCCATCATCGGACTCTTATTTCTCTTCACAACTTTCTCTCAGGCCCACAGTTGCTCCCTCTCCAATGATTTCAGTTCCCAGCCCGCGTCTCCTCTCCCCCAGCACTTGGTGCCTTAACATCCACCTGCCCGACACTAACAGCCTTTCTCACTTCCTCAGACCTTCTTCTCCATTTTATTGCAGCATCTCAAAATCTACTTTTAAAAGTTTTACGTTTACATAGAGTAAAATTTTTTTTTTTTTTGATGTACAGTTCTATGGTTTTGGTTTTTGTACATGTATATAGATTCTCATGACTACCATGACAGGATCTGGGCCAGAGCCAGACCGAGTACTGGACAGTGGTCATCGCACTCCAAGGGCCCACCCTGCACTGCGCCACCGTCACCAATGGCCTGTTTTGTTTCTGTATTTCTTATATTTTCTGCAATGTATAGATAGAATGATCAGGATGTACCTTTTGTTGCAGGCTTCTTTCGCTCAACATAATACCTTTGCAGTTCATCCTTATTGCACCTGGAGTCCCATGTTGACTTTGCTGAGTGGTATTCGTTTTATCACAGACTACTGATGAAGGATATTTGGGTTGTTTCCTGTTCTTGGTGATTGAGTAATGCTGTAAACATTTGTGCACAGATTCTGTGTGAATTTAAAACTTCTTGTAGATAAATACCTAGAAGGGGTACTGCTGGGTCACATGTTCGTATGTGCGAAATCTCATTGTTAGGTTTCCTCTCCTCTGTACCTGCACAGTTCCCTTTTTCTGATGCTTCACTCTGACTACTCTTTGACCTATGATTCACTGCCCTTACCAATTTCTCATTAGCTACCCACCTCTTCATCTTTCCATACCACACAGCTTATTTTCCATGGTCTCTTATTTTCATAAGAGTCAATGATACAAATTCCTTCTAACATTTCTTCCTAGCTTAACCCTAAGCTGTAAATGCAACTCTACCCATTTTGTTACACTAAAGTAAAAAAAAAATGGAGATATATACGATTATAGCCATGGGTCAGTTTTTGACCACAAATCACATTTGTGCATCCAATACTAGCTCTCTGACCTACTGAAATGACCATTCCACATTTCTCTCAGCTTGTGGTATAGCCTCAAACATCAGTGAGGAAGCAGAGGTGATTAGGTTGGCAGTTGCTCGTCATCTTCCCATCACCATTTCCACCGGACACACTGTCCTTCCTCACTGTCCTTCTTGGGGAAGACCCAAGTCTTCCCTCTTCTCTACCCATGGTCAACCTCACCACAGAGCACTGAACCCCATCCATGCCTACCCCACCTTTTCCAATGATATTACTCTTGCAATTCTCTCTTCTTTCCTGATTTCCTCAACTCCCTATGCCATCAGCATAAAACATTCCTTATTATAGCCCAACTTCAAAAATAACTCCCTCTACAATCATCAGTACCTTCAGAGTAAAGAAACCTGATAGATCCTACCTCAGCCAGATGATGGTTACTAGCATAGCACTAAAGTGATGTTGGTATGCACCCTTGGTATGATGTGGAGAATAGCACTTTATCTCTGTGTTCTTCCAACCCCAAGCCTATAACCTCTAATCATGAGAAAAACATCAGTCTAATTCAAACCAAAGGATGTTCTACAAGACTATCTGACCAATACTCCTCAAAACTGTCAAGGTCATCAAAACCATGAAAAGTCAAAGAAATTGCCAGTTTAGAGAGGCTAATGAAACAGGATGATTACATGTAATCTGGTACCTTGGCTGGAATCCTGTAACAGAAAGAAAGATACTAGGTAAAAACTAAGGAAATATGAGCATATGGTACAGACTTTAGATAATAAAAATGTACCATTATTGCTTCATTGGTTGTGACATGAACCACAGTAATGTTAGAGAGTCCTGGATGCAGGGAACTCTGTATTTTTATAAACTTTCTATATATATTAAATTATTTAAAAATAAGTTTTTAAATGTTAAGACCTTCACCTGATCCTCTAGTTCCACTCCATTTCACCACTTCCCTTCATAGGGAAGCTTTTAAAAGAGCTGTTTATTGCTGTGGTGTCTCTATCCCCCACCCTAGCCAACTTGTATCTCAGTCCCCTCCAACCCAGCTCTACTCTTGTCAAGGATGAGCTCCATGTTATCAAATCCCAGAGTTAAATATTTTTTCTCCTTACCTGGCTTTTCAGTCTGGTATGCGATTCAGTCTCTCTTCATACTTCCTAAAACACCTTCTCTTGGCTTCTGGGATACCACACACCTGGGTTTTCCCTCCTACTCATGGCTGGTCCTGTTCAGCCTCTCTGCTCTGACTTCTACCAGCAATTCCATGGCCTGGGGCTCTAACTTAGGGCCCATATTCTTTGTCTAGGCTCTTATCTCACAGGTATATTTCATCTAATCTCATGAATTAAAGTACAACTTACCTACTGTTGAGTCATGAATTTGTATTTCCAGCCTAAAGGTTGAGGCAGGGACTATTATGTTCCTTTCAGAGCAAAGAAGACTCAGGCTCTCAGACAGTTAAGGAGCTTGCTCAAGTTTCACACAGCTCAAAGCAATAGAAGTAAGATTTGAATGCAGGTCTGTCTGCATTCTCCTGGGCCTGAACTGTGAGCAGCCAGGCTTTCCTGCCACCCAGCTTCCTATACTGCCTCCCGCCTGTGCTGTCCTCCTGGCCTCATGCCTGTTCCCCTGGTCTAGTTTTTCTAGAATGACCTCTCTGCTCTCTCCCCACTATAATTACCTGCTCTTTCCAGCCCTCTTCCTTCCAGTCCTGGTAGAGTTTCTCCACTCCTGAGGCCCAGGCTGACTCTCCTGGCCTCTTCTGAACTCCCGTTGGACCTGGATGGCATCAGACTATGTGGTTTCCACTGAGTGTGGATCACTTTTGCTCCATCCTCAGTTGGGAACCACTGTACTTCACTTTAGGTTGATATAGCTTAGAATTATAGCTACAGGAAACAAGAGACACCAGCAGAAGTAGGATCAGAATACTTTAATAAGATATCAGTGTCAAAATACATTTCCTTATAAAGTTAAGCTCCCATATAGTTATAATGTTATCAGTAGGAATTCAACAATAATGTTCATGAAATCGTTACGTTGACAGGTAAGGTTAATATGAAGCTTGGAATATTTTTCAGAGTGTTTTAGTAAAACTGCAATGGTAAAATGCCCTTAATGCTGAGGCAACACACACACAAAATCAAACACCAGTGGTTTACACGTCAGTAACCCTTCAAGTTCTGCCACCACGTGTGGGGCAAAGCTGTGGTGCTAGTACAATTCGGGCAACACAGTGACCGCTTTTTCTCATATAACTTAGGTTTCTCTAGAAATTAGTTTTGATTTTGGCAATCAGTCCAATTTTTTGGCCTGCTGTGTGTTGTGTGTGTTTCTAGAAACTTCTTCAATGTACCCATGACAAAAAAGTTCCCTGTGATAGGTATTGTCCCTCTTACCGAGTGAGTGACAAAGTGCTCTGAGAACACTATTTTCAGTGCTTCCTACCTATACAAGTCACTTCAAGCGAAAGACTTTGGGGAGGGCCTGAGGTTAGGAGTCATCCCAGAGGTCTGCCTGCTGTTCACCAGTGTGGGGGCACAGCACCCTGACCTTGCAGGGCCACCTGATGGCAGGCCCAATATAAAGGGTCTGGGGACAAGGCTGAGCCTAACCAGCTCCCTCCCTCTTTTCTGCACCCTCTCTCAGTCCAGCTCCAAGGTGGCTAGCCAGGAGGATGAGGTCTGGGTTACCTCACCATTTCTGAACCCTTCTTTCTTCCACGGCTTCCCATCTAAACCATCTCATGGTAATTCTGGAAATACCCAAGTGTGCCACGTGAAAAGAACCAATAGAGTCACATAGCTCAGTGCACTTGAAGGGCTAGCAACAAAACCTGAAGAAAAGTTAAAGCAGTTCCCTCCCCTAGCATTCTCCCCCCACCCCCCTCCCCCGACATGCCATCAGACCCTCTTGGCAGCAATAATAATACATACATACATACATAATACATATAGACCACGAGGAGGAGACAGCTCGCCATGCTTCCACTTCAGGAGTCTAACTTCTTGGATTGTCTCGCCTAAGACATATCCCCAAAGAGCCAACAGAGAGAAACCTTGAGGTGTTAGTACAGGCCCGGGGAGAACTGTACAAGACCTCAGTGTCAGCAACACCAGGAAGGAGAAAACGAACAGCTTCCGAAAGGTCTTAAAGTGATTTCGTGAGCAGGATGCCACTTCCGTTTCTAAGTTTTTAGATATTACAAAGTACCCATAGATATGATAAACACTTAACCCAGATATAAATTTTCTTTTTAAAAAACTTATGTTTTTGGATGATGATAAAAAAAAAAATCCTCCGAGTGGGGGGCAGGGCTAGGGGGACAGCAAACAGTTTAGGAAAAGCCACACTGTGCAACTCTCACAGAAAACCACATACACTGGAGTTCTCCCTTCACATTTCTTTTTCCAAAGTAATATCAAAATGAGAGCAGAGTCAGCTTAAAAAAAAAGACAAATTTACAATATGGTGATTCGTTGTAAAAAAGAAAGGAGAAGGCTCTGAGAAGAGGCGGCCACAAACAAGCTCGGAAAGCCAAGTTATTTTTCTCTTTGGCAACGACAACAAAATCTTTTGAGTTAAATGAAGCCAAAGTTTTCCTTGCAGGAGAACAAAGATATACCAAACTTGTTAATAGGGGTATTGTGTGCGCGAGAGAGAGACCTATGAATAATATAAATTAGAGGTAATTGAAGCTGGGGACAGAAAAATCTTACAAAATTTAAAAATATTTTCATTAACAGCAAAACTTAGCAGGTAAAAACAATTGTATATTTTAAAAATGTGGATAAAGTGAGCATCTTCAGAAAAAGGCCACTATTCGGTGACCTGGGCAAGTTGACCAGGTAAGTACATCTTGTAAAAAGTGTGATGTTAGAAATACCTAGTTGCAAAAGTAGATGTAGAGAGTGAAGCTAGTGGGCGGGCATGGCGGGGTGCCTGCCCGGCGGGGGCCCTGGCTCAGGTGGCCTGGTCCAGGGCCCTGAGGAGGTCCCTTCCGTGCAGGAGCGTGGAACTGCCTGGCACAGGAACATTCACCTCACAGTCATATCTGGTCAATTCGGGCAGCAGGTATGGCTCAAATGAAGACCCGAGCAGACGGCTTGCCATGCCTGGAATAGAGGTTGGTGCCACATTTTAGAAACCAGAAATCAAACAGTTGGAAGACTCTCTTTCCTTTGGGCAGCAGAGAGGGGGAGGGAGAATGTGGGGCCACGAGCATTTCGTTTTCCTGTCTTGGAGGTATGGGTAGAGCAACTCTCGTTTCACTGTTTCTTCCCTGTCACCATTCTGAGAGTCATCCTCTGCTCAGAAGATGGGCCCGACAGAGAGATGGCTTCCTCCTGACCCACCTCACTAGATGGGGGTGCTTGGACCCGAGGAAGAGAGGTGTGTGTGGTGCAGACAGCAGCAGAGGTGGGTTCAGGGGAGGTGGAGGGTACAGCCGTGCATGGGAGTGCACCACCTGGTACCTGCCCACATGTGTGCACACACAGGGTTGTCTGAGAGGTGAGGCTCACCACCCCTCAGCAGCCCTTCCTTCTGGGCCATTGTCCCCGTGAGAAGGCAGAGAAGGGTAGGTAGGTGCCTGAAAAACTCCAGCACCCAAACTGGCCAATCCTAGAAGGGAACAGCCCAGAACCCCTCGAGATGAGTTGCTGCTTTGTGCAGCACCTCAGCCCTTTATTAGGGGCCACACCTGCTTCCCCAGCATGCTGCCTTGTGTTTGGTGAGTCCCACACCTCTGCAATGGACACAAGCTCACCAGTTTTTTGTTCTATACCCCATTTTTTTAGCTCAAGGTCACAAATGACCTGAGTTGAACTGTAGAAGTCATGGGGAAAATCATATTTAAGGAACCTCGTGTGCTCCAGCGGGCATGGCATGCTGGACCCGGATGCACACCCAAACTCAATCCTTAGTGTTTCCATGTGGGGACATGCTCGGTGTCCAGCTGGTACACAGCAGCACTGGCATGCAAGCCCAGGGCTGTCTGGTGGCTCTAAAGCCTGGACTCTGAAGCAGTTTGCCCCAAACATATTCTGAGGAGCCTGCCCCTTTTAGGACAGAAGTCCGGAGTGTTTCCCCAAAGCCATCAAAGCAGGTGTGGCCTCTTCATGCCAAAGAGCAACCACGTCACAATCGCATGTCTCAGAAGGTGGCGGCAGCATGAGGCAGCCAAGGGTAGAAGACAGGCCACAGGTGGGCTCACGCTCCACAGCTCTGCCAGCCTCCCTCCCAGGCCCATTTTCCCTGCCTGTGCACGGCTCCCGCCAAGCTCTTGAAGCAGAGCGGCACGTCAGTGCAGCCCCAGCAATACGGTGGCAGAGAGCTCCGCACGTCACCTGACGCTGGGAGGGTTCCTTTAAAAGGCCCGTGGACAGCGGCCTTCAGTCCTGCTGCAGTGCTGTCCAGGCAGGAGGGCACACCCCTCCAGCCGCCTTTCCACGGCACCGAGCTGAGACAGGAGCCCTGCCACCTCAGGATGCCCGTCGCCTGTCCACGCCTCTCCCACACACTGCACCTGGCATAGGGGTCAAGTGGCTGAACACACCTACCTGATGCCTTGCGAGCTGATGGCAGATTGTAGTCCTGGTACTGGGGGGTGTAACACTGCGGGGGGAACCCGGTCTTGGTATTATCCCCAGGGTTCATGGTAGATGGTGGCTGTGGTGGTGGCAGGTGTCTGAGGGGCTGGCCCAGGCCTCTCATTGGATTTTGGGTGAATTCATCTGAAAGAGCAATGTGGGAGAGTGAGGGCAGCGCCTGGCCCAAGGAAGGGGAGGGACTATGAAGCCCCCAGCACCCCCTTTCCTTCACAAATGTGCTTAGAGTCACCAGAATAAGAGCCAGCACCATCTGAGCCAGTGTGGAAAGGGGTTACAGAGACCACCAACCCATCTGACAACGCTCACTCACAGAGACAGGGAAGGCAGCCCCTCCATCCACAAAAGCCCTCCCCCAGAGCTCCAGGAGGCTCACCATTGGGGACGTTTGCATTCAGTGGTTTACTGGGCATCAAAGGGCAGTTCCCCCCGCCTCTGAGGCTCTTCATCCTTTTCCACATCAAGTGTGAAGCACTGCTGCCCGGTGGGTCCCCCTGAGTGTGGGAAGGGACAGGGCCAGAAAATCAGATCCCCAAACTGAGTTGGGTGGGGCAGACACAGCTGTGCCTGGGGTGAAAAGCCACAGCTCCCTTCCCGCTGGCCCCAGCAGGCGCCCTGGATCTCTGCTCCCAGGTCTGCCCCAGGGCTGTGGAGGGAACCCAAGGTGGTGTCAGTCGGGAGGCGGCTCACCACATTCATGTCTTGGAAGGCTTGCTCCTCAGACTCCAGCTGCCTCTTCAGCTTCAGCTTGTTGGAGAGCGCTATCATGGCTGGGCTCATCAGGTCCGGGCCCCGAGCCCCAAAGTCTTTTGCAGACCTGTCAAGCCCAAGAGAGTGGACTGTGAGGGAGTCCAGAGCCCCATACTACCCAGTGCTTCCACTGGGCCTCAGAAGACCCTTCCAGAACTAATGCTGATGGCAGAGTGGCTCTGAGACCCAAGGGCAGTGGCAGGGTGCTGGGCCTGAGCTGTGGTTCTGCCTGGTGAGATGTAGATGGTTCAAGTCACCTGTCTCGCCTGAACTTCTCCCTACTGGGGATGGCTTACCTGTGCCCATCTACCTGTGTGCGCTCAGACTGGCTAGTGGCTCAGCTAGAAATAATCCACCCAACACCGCCTCAGGGCAGCCAGCTCCGGCTCCGGGGCTCGGTGGGAGATTTAAAGGAGCCAGGAGAAGGCGGGACCAGGGACAAGGGAAGGCAATGCTGGTCCTGGGCACCACGTGGAGAGGCTGGGTGGGGGGTCCCTGAGCAGGGACAGAGCATGTCCTGTTCACCTTTATGAAAAGGACATAGTATGTCCTCCACACCAGGGTTCCTTGAGAGAACTGAACAGTCACTAGATTTTTTGTGTTCTGTGGCTCGGCTGGTGAAGAAAGGTGCTGTAAGGAGGGGGCTGAAGGGAGAGACATTGGTGTCAAGGTTCTGGCAAGCCACTTCTCTCCCTTTTCCTGTCCTTAGTCCCCTCCTGGTCTCCTCAAGACCTGATATAGGTAGAAATTGTCCTGCTCGGGCCTCCTCACCTAAGGGCAGCTCCCCCAAAGCTAAGTTCTCATAGTTCAGAGAAGGAAAGAGGAGGTGGTGATGGGTCCAGCAGCCCCCCCCCCCCCATCCCCACAGTGAGCCCTGTCTGCCCCTCCCTGTCCAGCATAGCCTTTGCTGAAGCAGCCAAGGGTCTCTCTCACTTACCTCTTCTTGAACATGGAGAGATGGGGTGGGGTGATGGGCGGCCCCAGCTGTGAGGCCCCCAAGGACTCAGTGTGTTGCTCCCCAGCAGGCCACTTCGTGGGTCCAAAATGTAATGGTGGATCAGGAGGCCACTGTACGTTGGATCTGCCCCCCATAGAAGAAAGAGGGGTGCTGGCCTGGCCACAGCACGGGGGCAGGGTGGCCTTGCTCCCTCCATCGAAGAAGATGGAGGACATGGGCCGGTGCTCAGGCTCTGTCTTCTTGCTTTCCAGCTGCTGCTGCTGGTACTTGTCCAGGAGGAAGGGGCTGTGAGGAGCCACAGGGGCCAGTGGCTGGAAGATGTTGGTCATGGTGCTGAAGCAGTGCTGGGGGTTGGACTGGGGATTCTCGGGCACGAGCCTCTCCTCAGGGCAGATGGGACTGAGCTGGAAATCTTCCCCGTCCATGGGGATGTAGGGGGCCAGTGTCTCCAAGTCGAGCTCATTAAAATCCGTCTGAGGAGAGTGAAAAGGCAAAATAGCTGAGTGGTGGTGCTGCCTCATGGGTACCCTTCCTGCTGAATCATTTCTCTCAGGGACGCTCTCACACCTCTTTTGGCTCCCTATGGCCACCAGAGGTCAGACTCAGCTGCCTGCTGTGCAGGGGCTTCCAGCCTGCATGATTAGCCTTTCCATCATTCCAGCTCTTCAGTCTATACCACAAATATCTATGTGGTGCAAATATCTATGCACCACACCTGTGGCACCCTCCTCCCCTCCAAACACCAACCTGAAATTCTCTCCTCTCTCCAGCGTACTGTCCGAACCCCATCTTCTCTCTCTCAGCTGGGGCAAGCCCCACCTCATGCATAAAACCACCGTGGTGCACAGTGCCTCTGTGGAAGCCATGGTCAGCTTTGCCCTCACCTCCCTCCTATGCCCCAGTGCATGCTTGCACATGCAGTAAGTGCCCAGGAAGGATCTGTGGCTGCTTCTAGAGTAACCCCTGGAGCCCAGGGGTTGAGGGGATCTCCCCTTAGCTTCCCAGGATCCCGGTGGGCACCATAAGGAACATTCACAAGCAGAAACAGAAAAAAAAGATTCTACCATCAGGGACTGACCCCCCCACCCTGGGGGCATGCTGCTTATTAATGCCTGCAGTGTGTACAGAGCAGAAGCGGATCATCATGGTGAGTGATAGAGGGGTTCAGAGGTGAGAAAAGGGAGGGTTGGAATAAGGGAAGTTTGCAGAATGGCTAGAACTAGTGCCAGGAAAGATAAAGATGGATGCTAAGGAGCAATGCAGACTCTGAATGAATAACCCAGACTAAGATGAATGGGGGATTTCTGTAAAACCTGGCCTTACATAATGTGTTCCTGAAAGGATCCATGTAAACATGTCTATAATAAAATAGCTATTTCAAAGACTCTTAAGATGAGTGTGTTGTGAAAACTAACTTAAAGAGAGTTTTGCACAGTTATCTCAGTAATTAGGTAGAGTTGAAAAAGAGCAGCTGGAGGGGAGAGAGGATGACTACTGGCCCCATTTCCCTGCACCCTCACCAGCCTCCAGCGCGCATGCCAGCCCACTCTCCATGGCCACTTACCTGCGTGCTGCACTGGTCCTTTGCCTCTGTGTCCATGGCAAAGAGCTTCTCAATCACTTCAATCTTCAGCTCATCATCCAGAGATGTGTAATAATCTCCAGGGCTGCTGGGCTGCGGGCCAGGAAGAAGAGTGACCAACCAGTTTGAGGTGGAAGGAGAAATGCATTCCTGGACCCTCGGACTTAACCTGTTTCACCACCCAACAAATATTTGTAGGGAGGCCGCTCCCTGTGAGCTGTGAGTTAGGACAACTCCTCAACCTCTTTGAATCTCATAAATGTGCTTGTCTTGAGGGGTGAAAGGCAGGGCTCTGGAAAGGACAGCTCTGTGCCCCAGCAGGATGATCACTGCCCTGCACAGGGACTAAGGCGGGGGCTCAAAGCTGTCTGCACCCAGTCCTCATCTTTTTGGAACTTATTTAGTCGGGATGGACACTAGCAAGAAGCAAACGGCACAAATACCTGGCAGAGAAGTGTCATGGCCACTTTAGGGGGCTCCAGGATAAGTTGAGAGTGGGGAGGCAGTTATGTCTGTCTACTCAGTCATCTGGCAGCAGCCAGTAGGAGGAGCCCACCCTCTCCATGGCCTCACCAAAGGGGTTGGGGGCTCACCGTAGAGCAGCTGCTGCTGCTGGTGGCACTAGGGGTGGTGCTCCCTGGGGTGGCTGCCTGGGGCACAGTGAAGGCTGGCAAGCTCCCAGTCTCGCTCTGGGCACCTTGACTCCTCAACTCTCCAGCCCATGGCTGACTTGAGGGCAGGATGGTCTTGCCATAGGTGGAGGATTCCTCAAAGTTCTGGTTCCCTGTGGAGAAAAGAGCCTGGCATAGTTAACACCCACAACCACCACACTCACCCCCAGGGCAGAAGAAGCCCAAAGACTTCACAGAAGGGCCTAAGAGGGTCTGGAAGCATGTCGGGGACTGGGCCCTCGGTGCCCTGAGGCTTAGTTGGCACCAAGGGGCTTTAACTGGGGCTATGATCCAATGACCAACCACCCATTCGGAACATTTAATTTTCTGAGACTAAACTTCTTAGGAGTCTCTCTTCCTTGAAGAGCAATCTGCCATGTAGATGCAGTGGTTATGAGGGGAGAATCAGGCAATTTGCCTCAGTTTTGCCAAAAGACTCCTTGTCCAAGGCCCTGCTGTCTTTTGTGAATCTCTGAAGATGAGATTCTCACACACCATCTCAAGAACACATTTCCAGGGGCTGAGACATTTCAGAGCAAGCTCAGGAAGTATAGCCATGCTGGGGAGAGAGGGTTTTCCCAGTGCCGAGTAAGGCTGCTTTCAGCCTGGCAGTGGGTGAGGGGCTGAGCACACTGCCGTGGCCACAAGCATTCTCATCCCCACAGAAAAGGTGGGCCTTTTAAAGTAGTGGCACATATGAGGACTTAGTTTGGGCCTGAGCTTGTACTGGAATTACTTTTCCTAACATTATTTCTGCCTAACCTTCTACCTAAACATTCAGTCCTTCAAGGCCAGGTTTCCCCACCTCTGTAAAAACATGCCTTGCTGTTCCCTACCCATCTCAGAAACCCACTGCCTGCAGCAGAGAATCAGGCCTTCAGGAGCATGTCCTCCATCCCACCTGGTTTAGCACTTAAGAGCTCAAGTAGGACAGTCTTACTCAGGGGCAGGTAGTTGTGCCCAGCAGTCTGGCCCCTATCAGATGATTAGCAAGGCTCAGGGAAGGCACTGGTGGTGGGTGGGTGGGCTCTGGTTAAGGGAAAGCTGTAGCCAAGGAGGCCTGGTACCGTGAGAACCTCCTTCCAACCCAAGTGGCTTCCATCGGCACCCACCGAAATCCAGAGAAATGATGGCATCTCCCGGAGTGGGGGCCAGCTGGGCCAGCTCCTCTGGCTCCTCCTTCAGCTTGGTAAACAGGAAGTTACTCTTTTCTGACACAGACAAGTCGCCGCTGTCCTCAAAGATGCTGTTCATGGCCATCAGGTGGGGCTTGAACAGTGATTCAGTCTGGTCCATGGAGAACACCACATCGTTCTTCTCAATCTCACTGATGGGACAAGACAACTTCAGAACTTCTACTCCTAGAAAAATCCTTTGCTCCCCCAGACACATGGGAACCCTGGCGGCTAAGTCTCTCAGCCAAAAACGTGGGTATGGTCTCTGAGCATGCTGTACAGACCCTCACGCCAGAAGACTGGAGTGGTGAGGGGGCAGTGCCACCTGAACGTGCTGTCTGGATGCTGTGTGTCCGTAGTGGGCTGACAGCGTGCATCAGGCTTGAAGCCTGTCTCTTTGGTCTGCTTCACTCTATTGACTTTCTCCAGCTTTCTGCCCAGGGTCTACAGTGGGGGTGTTACATCTCCCAGACAAAGGGCGCAATTCCCTATTCCTTTACCCCACTCAGAAAATACCAACTTAAGGGTCCTGCCTCCTCACTTGGGGCAGAGGCATAGCACAGATGATGGACGGAGCGAGGAGGACAAAACACTGTGAAGGGGAAATCCCAAGTGTCTCCCCTTTCCTGAGACACCCACCTAGGTCCACTGGGTCATAAGGATTAGCATTGTCAAGAGCTTGAGGGTGTGGCACCCGGGTTCTGAGAGACTTGATGATCCCTGGATGCCCCAATCCCCGGCCCCCCTATTGGCTCCCACACGCTCACCTCAGAACGTAGTTCACACACATGATGCACTGGGGCTGTAGGTTGCGAGGGTTGTAGATGACTGTCCCCTGGGTCTCCAGCCACACGTAGCCCCCGTGTTTCGCAAGCATCCGGTACTGGCTGCTCACCACCTGACCCTTGGTGCACACTAGGAGGAGAAATGGGGTGTGAGGTCAGTGGGGCAGGGGAGCCAGACCCCACAGTCTTCAGGAAAATGACAAGACTTGGTACCTGGAAAGTGAGGGTGGGCAAAGTGAGCTCAGAGGTCACCTCACACCGTGATTCATCTTAAACAGGCGAAAAGAAGGTTCTGAGGGGTTCAATGATGCCCCGAGCTGTGTGGCCAGGGAGAGACCCAAGGCCAATCCCCTGACAAATCAGCTCACTGGCCGGTTGGCAACAGAAACAAGAGCACCGCCTGCCCTCCTTTCTCCCCAGGGTTCAGTGAGGCAAAGACCTTCTCTGGGTGCCAGCCAGCTTCAAAGGGGCATCTGGGTAAGGCAAGGAGCACCTCTTGTCAAACCCTCCAGCTGACGGGATCCTGACGAGCATCATGGAGGAAGTCCTCAGGGCCGTGCTTTAGAGCAGATCTACCACCAGGGTCCTGCTTCTCATAAAAGTTTTTGAAAAAATCTTTTGTTTCAGGTCATCTTTCAGGCCTGCCACTTTGAGGGCCACAGAAGATTTGTGACCCATGGCAAAGCCAAGCCACCTCTGCCTACCCTCAGATGGGGCTGAAGAAGGGCCGGCCCCCAGCATCCCCACCCAGCCTCTGCAGAAGCCGTGATGAGTCCTCCCTGCTCCTCCTCCTTGCAGATGTCTCCCAGTTAGACTGAGGCTTATGACTTCGCTCCTGAACTGCTTAACATCTGTGTTCACTGTACAGAAATATTGGGGACTGTCTTCATCCTCAGTCTTGAATGCTCCCTCTGCTACCATTAAATCAGTAACAAATCTTTTCAATTAGTCTACTAATGTTGGAATTTCTGGTGTTTTTCTGAACTGCCCATATACTTTTTTTCCTTGGGAATTTACTCTTCAGAATCCCAACTCAGAAACCCCCAAACCACAAAGAATTAGCAAGGCATGGCGGAAGGATTAGGAAATCCTGCTAGCTTGGGGACTCCCTCTTGGTTTTGGTTTCCTCACCTGCAAAATTGAGTGTTGCTAACAATAATATTAATGATGATAATTATTACCTACCCAGTATACCACAGCTCTTTATGCTGAGGACTGAGTCTGCTTGACCAGCTTGTTGGTTATAGAAATGCTGACTGAATGGCACTGACAGTGCTACATAGAAAAAGTCATCTCTTTCCCAAAATGCCCAGACCCTGTCAGATCTATAGTACATGTCTTAGATAACATTGTGAGGGGCCTGTGGGAGAAATCCAGATTCTCTGCAAGCACAGCTTCTCATTTCTCCTGATTGGCTAGTGGGCCACCTCCCATTCACCACCTTGTGGGCCCTGTGTGGTTGAAGAATGCAGTTTGGTTCATACTAATGCTGCTTGAAATCTTTACATTCATATTTTTCTTGGTACTTTTAACCCTCTTAACAAGTACATCTGAGGCACAGGAAATCCTGTATCTTACATCTATCGTGCTTTGCAGTATTCAAAACTGTCTCATAAATTTGTTTTTGCTAAGCAATCAAAACAATGTCAGGCACAAAAATCATCAGTAAGGATTAGTGTCATCATCACACAACATACTACCACCACAAATATAATTCCCCCTTGACATCTGAAGAAACCAGGGAAGAATTATTGAGCTGCTGAAAAGTTCCCTGAGTGGAAATGATAGGGTATAGTCAAAAATAAAGACTTGTAGTCTAAGCTTTGTTTGGTTTTCACTTTTAAAAATCAACTTTGTTGAGGTTTAATTTACCTTCAATAGAAATGCACCATTTTAAGCATATAGTTCAGTGAGTTTTGACAAATATATACAGCCATGTAACTGTCACCACAGTCAAAAAGTCGAGAACTTTCCCATCATTCCTTAACCCCAAATTCCTTATGCCTCCTGACAGTCAGTTGCCATTTTCACCCTTGGTCCTGGGCAACAACTGATCTGCTTTCTGTTGCCTATATATAGAAATGATATGTTCTTCATTCTCTGCCCCCCCACACCCTTTCTGCATTTCTATGTAAATGGAATGACACAAGAGTATGTACTCTTTGGGGTCTGGCTTTTCACTCAGCATGCCTTCCAGATCCCTCATGTTGTTTAAAGTATCCAAGATTTGTTCATTTTCATTGCCGAGTAGTAGTCCATTACATGGATGTACTACAGTGAGTTTATCCATTTATCTGTCAATGGATATTTGTATTGCTTTTAGTTTTGGGGTATTATAAAGTTGCTACAAACGTTTATGTACAAGTCTTTGTGTACAAGTGGACCTACTTGTGTACACTTGTACACAAGTGGACCTTTGTGTATAAGTGGTTATACCATCCTTAATCTAATCTTTTAAGCAAAATCCTGTGACATAGGAATCTGGAATGCTGAGTGAAAAGAAGCCATACATCTTCTTTTAACTTGAGGAAAATGAAAGCCACAGGAATTGTAACTTAACATCACAGGACACATAACACAGTCTGGGCTAGATGACAATGTTGGGGTTCCTAGTATAACACTCTCCTCCTACAATATCTAGAGCCGTAATTGACTAAGACTACATTTGCTTTTGCTGCTGTCCTAGACCATCAAGGATGCCGCACTCAGAGAGGCAGCTGTTCTCCCTGACCCCCTTCTGTCTATCCTATAGAGGCCCCCTTGCTGCAGTGAAATGATTCTTGCACAATTTCAAGTACCTGGAGTTAACTTATTTAGATGGTTCTTAATGCAGACAAAATTCAGGTTTCTTATTCTTTTTTGATTAAACAGCTTAGTGAGGAGAGGTTTTAACTGCATTTCTAGCAATTGCTGGTAAGGGCCTGCTCTGTATAGAATATAATTATGCCTGCTTTTCTAATCTGTTCATTAATGCCAGCCTTGGTGAGGAGCCTGCTCCTTGGTAGATAGGCTTTTTATGGCCTTTAATCTTGTTTTCTTAAGAGCACATAATGTCCTCACACAACAAAGAAAAGCCAATTCCCCTCCTCAACCGCCACTCTAGGAGAGTAACAATGTATAAATTACCAATCCATTTGGAAATGATGGCTTTCAATTATCTAAATCTGGTTTGAGGACAGTAATTTCAACCGTAAACCTTCACAGACTCAGAAACACAATTGTGCCTAAGTTTGGGAAGCTGGTGTATAAACCTGGACCAGTCTCAAACTTAGGCCTCTAGTTACTCCACAGCCTGAGTGTGAGTCTGTGATGCAAATTTATTTGCACAAACACAATGAAATGAGAAGAGACTATGAATGAGAAAAGAATATGAATAAGAGAGTTGAGAGAGACAGAGAAATAGATGCTTCCGTTTTAACTGGTATTAACCCACTTCTCAACCCATACAGCTTTCCCGGTGCTGATCTGGGCTGGCTCACTTGGTACACGGAGCTCAAAGCAGCTTTCCTTGGCTCCATGAGGGGAGGAAGGGAAACTGTGATTTCTATTTGGTTGTGAATGACCTTTAAGTGTAACTAATGATTAAAAACACAGATTCATTAAAAGGCACCATTATTTTCGCTGAAGTCAGCAGAAAACTGGTAGTACAAATTTTCATTCCTCTTCTTTTTTCATGGATCAAAGATTTTCTAAGAAGGGGAAAAAATCCTGATCCATTTTATTCCTTTTGACAGTATTTTCCCCACTCCAATTATTAAAGTACAATACTGTCCTCCAAGAATTTCCAGAACTCTTTACTACTGTCCCCCTTTACTGAAAAGGCTGGGCTTTCCCTCACTTTTACATCTGGAGGAGACTGGGAATCATAGGGTCGGCTGGGTGTGAGTCCAGGTCTGTGAGTTCCAGTGTCAGGAGGATGTTGGGAACAGAACCCCTCAGGGACCAGAAAAGTGTGGGGAATCCCAGAGTGAAGGCTGAAATCATATCCTACAATTTCAAAAAGTTTGGACAGCCTCGGGATGTGTGGCCTCCTGGGCACAAAGAGTACTTCCACCATCCCTGACTCCCCAAACAGGGTTGAGTGCCCTAGATTGTTCATGTTTGTTTTTCCCCGGAAAGCACAGTGAGAAGCTCCTGTGGGATACCATAAGAGGCCCTGTGTGCTGTCAGATTAAAACCAAAAGCTATGAGAAGGCGGCAGAGGAACCAATTAGAACAATGAGCTCTTGCTCCTTAAGAGACTATTAACTCTGTTCTCCCACAGCTCACGGCGTTGCAGGTAAGTTACAGCCAGCTCTTCAGAACTTCTACTGTCCTAAGGATTTGGGAACAATGGACAGGTAGCTGCACTTCCATTTTCACTGCCACTGCTGGGAGCCCAAGACCAGCAGGGCAACCTTACCTATTTTCAATCTTTCTGTAACGTCCGCAGCCCCTCCAGCTACACCACTGTGGGTACTTATTTAGAACCATTCTTTTCCAAATGTTTTATGCCTTGAGTTTATCATTTATTTAGTGCCTGTACTTTACCAAACACTGTGCTAGATATTGGGGCTAAAGATATGAGTCAGCTTGCTCCACAGATCCCACAACCCTCCTCTGTCAGAAATGAGAGATTCCTTGGGACAGACCAATCCTATAAATTTCTGTGTCCCTTAGTGGGTCAACTATGGGATTATAGACCCAGGGTCCTTGCATGGGCTCTAAAGACTCAAGAAAATTGCCTCCTATCACCTACAAATGGGAACCCTTAATTAGGAAGATGGCCAAGGGAATGCTTAGAACCGCTCCGTCTACATGCTAGCCACTAGACTGTGTATATGCAGAACATTTCCACTGCAGAAACTTCTATCAAGCAGCCCTGTTCTACAATCCTTTCTAACTCAGGTTTTCTTTCAAGCTACAAAGCACAGTTTCCAGTGCACGGCCAGTGGGTTGCCTGCACAGCCTCCTCCAGCTGAGTCCTCTTGATGTAGCAAGTAAACCCTACAGAACCACAACCAACCTCAAGTATCTAGTAAGTTGGTGCCATAATACCTCCCCCCCTTTTTTTTTTTTAAAGATTTATTTATTTATCCAAGCACTGGGTACAGTCAGAAGTGCGGGAGGGTGAGAGAATTCACCAGAGCCAGAGCGGGGAGCAGAGCAGGCAGAAGGACCGAAGTACACTGCTGAGGGGAGCAGCGGGCATGGCAGGAGAGATCTGCGTGCCATGTGGGACCCTCACCAGTGGCTGGGGATTGAACCGGTGCTGCAGAGGCTGCGGGCAGCTTCACAGCCCAGCACTCAACCGCTGCGCCACCAGGGAGGCCCTACCTTCCCCTTTCTTAAGCACAGTCCTCCCCATCTTTCAAGGTTCAACTCAAAGTGCCCATTATTTCCTTTCTGAACCCTCCCAGTCTTCTGCAAATGGAGGTACCTGCTTCTCTGGCACATTCCCCAAGTTGTCCCGTAGTAATGTCTCCAGGTCCATTCCACAGGGGTGGCAGACTGTTGACTGCGCTGTGGTGTTCAGTGAAGGTGGTATGTGGAGACTGAGATTCTGCCCACTTTCCACCCTCCACTCTGTACACCCCTGGAGAAAAGCGCCCTCCCCTAACTGCATGAAGCTGCTGGGGGCAACCTGCTCTGACCATCTCAAGAGTCTTGTCTGTTGTGCTGATGTTGGCTCTGTGAGGGAAGTGACTGGATCTCTCCCCCAGGGACACCCCACTCGAGGCCGGATTCCATGGACACAAGGAAGCCACATGGGGCTCTCCTGGAACTTACAATTCTGATGACTTTTAGTCATGTTCTCTGAGTCCAGGGCATGGTAGAACTCGTACGCTGAGCGGCCAAGTAGCTCTTCAGGATGGTAACCAACCAGTTCTGTGATTCTGAATTTTAAAGAAAAAAAAAAAAAAACCCATGGGGAAAAGAACCATATGAAAGTGGTTAGGGACCCAAGGAGTCAAATCCAGAAGGTAAGTCAAACACATTCAGATGAACGCACTTCAGACTTCCTGGTGGCACCACTCACTCAAGCAGAAAAACCTGTGACTATGGGTCCCCCTCTAGCTCTGCTCTTCCCCCCTTCCTGAAAACACATTTAGGGAGGAAGGAAAAGCATCAGTTCAGGGGACTCCCTGCTCCCTCAGTCCTCTATACTTGCAGGACTGTTCCCCAAGAATGGTTGGAAAAGGCTATCCCTGCCCCACCCCACGTGGCCCCAATCACCAGAAACTTTTTGCACATAAGGGAAGAGATTGAAGGAAGGCAGGTGGTTTGTTACTCTAGTAGAAGATGATAAACACGAAAAGTGAAAATTATGTGGCCCCAAGGGGGAAAAAGCACATAGGCAGCCTTCGTCTATGTGTTAACCACAGAATGAGGAGGAACCCTGTGTAGGGAGAACCCCGTCTGCATTAAGTGTTCATTCCCCTGGTGCTTTACCCTAGCACCTCAGATGCCTGTGGGACATCAGGCTAGCCTGCTGTGGATTCTCCCACTGGCCCCTGCCCACGCCAATAAAGTGGAAGGCAAGAGGTGCCAAGAGGAAGAAATACAGAATCATAGTCGCAGCAATGTGCCTCCCTATTACAGTCTCTGACGGTGGGCAGCTCTGCAATGATAGGGCTTGGCTGTCCCAGATGTCCTTTTCTTCACCCTGTCAGGTATCCGGTTTTGATGGGAAGAGGACCCAGCAAAGGCAAATGTGGAGAACCATGAAGAATGACCTTCTGCTCTTCACTGGAATCATTAAATCAACAAAGCCCTGTCCCAGAACCACCAGACCAGCCACTCTCCCATGTCATACCTAAATAGGATTTCTTGTCTTTTTTATCTCACATGTTTTTCTAATGGGCTTATTGTGTTATTTACTTGGCTTATCACAAGTTAGAGTAATGCTGTATTCTCATCACTACCAGCTCTACTTCAGAATGCAGGACTTCTGGGTGTGACCCCGTCATCTGTCCATGTTGGAGGTTAACAGCACAGAGAGGGAAGCAGAAGCAGAAAGCAGGAACAGTGAAGCCTTGGTTTCCTGTCTACTCTCCCTCCCCTCCAAGTGGGTCTTGCAGTTTCTTCAGACTAAATCATCCTATGTCGTTTCTATCTTGTTGCTCCCTATATTAGCTTTCCCTATTGCTAGCCACATCCAGGGTAACTAAACCCTTCCTAACTTCCCCCCAGCATCTAGTCTCCACCTTCCAAGCATTTTGATGTTCAATGAACCTTTAGCATGTTGAGTTCCCTCTGGTAGGGCAAACCCCTCTCCTCACAGACCCCACAACTATAGAGTCATTCTTGCTACTGGCCTTGAAGCATCCCTTCTCCATGCTTCTCCACACCTTGACTAGGGCCTCGCCTTTACTGTGGGTTCTCTCCAATTCTTCCTTCTCCTGAAGTCAATGGGCATCCAGGATGTCACAGAGGACTGTTCATCTCTCCACATCGGGGGCTGTCAACCCCTGGACTCAGGATGGCTTTCTCCTTTGACCTGCCCTACTAGGGGTGCCCAGTAAATACTTGAGTAGTTGACTGATCAGTGGGTTGATTTTCTCTTTGGGCCTAAGGCACAACCAGAGCCCTGGCTATCCCAGTAGTGCTAAGGAACCTGGGCACCACGAGCTACTTTACTTTTGGAACTATGCAGGACCTTGGTGTGGGCTGGTGCTCACATACAGCCCTCAGCAGACCCCTCGTGGTATCAATCCTTCTTCTTCATTCTGAGACAGACTGCCTGGGTGAGACTTGGGGGTTGTTAAAGCCTTTGTCAAACAAGGGCCAGTACAACAGGGTTAAGGAGCACAGGCCTCAGCTGATTTGGCCCAGGGAGATTTTTCCAGTGAAACTCCAGCATCTCACTTGTACCAGATGGCTGGTCTCCAACCAGAAGAACCTGCCCTGAAGCAGAGAGGTATCTGAATTCATGAGCCCTGGCAACTTGGCCATGGGACCAGAGCCCACAGTACCTTAGCTGAGGTGGAGATTGGGACAGAACAAGGAAGCAGCCGGAGCCTATTTCCTTTCCCGTAATGAAGAGCTTTTTAGTTGAGTCTAATGCTTTTCAAGTTTAGCCTGGGAATCAGAATTGTACCGGAGGGCTCTGCTGACAATGGGCTGGCCATTTACAGGTCTGTTGGTTAGCCAGATAAGCTGCAAAGAGGTCCAGAATTTTCTACTGGGCGAGGGTGATTCTGGGAAAGATCCAATTCTACTCCCTAAAGAAATTAAATTTTCCTTCAAGATTAGAATCTTCAAAATGTTCAAAGTAAATTATTTACTCTAATCAACCTCACAATATTTTTCATCTAATTAATGTACCATCCATTCAAAGGCGCACAATGGGCATGTTTTGAAGTGGACAAACAGACCTAGATTTCAGAATTGCCAGCTATCTTCCCAGTAGCAGCTTTCATTTATCTTGTCAACTAAAATAAATATTTAATGTCTCCTCCTTCATTCCTTTAAACAGACTACTATAAAAACTGGAAAACACACATACTGCAAACACAATTGAAGAACATTCGTGTTGTCAAACTTAACAAAGCAGGAAGCCCCAACTTGAAGCTCATGGTCATTCGCCTTCAATTGCAGGCACGTAGACGCCAGTGGGGAGGTGAATGAACTGACTTGTTTATAGGGTCGGCTGCTGCAGCCCAGAAGGGCCTTCCCTGCTAGTTTTCTAGGTCCCACAGAAGCCTCTGAAGCTGGGCTGTGATAACACAATTTCATCTGCTCTCCCCAGCCGGGGTAGGACAACTCTTTCTTTTTTTCTAATTAAGGGCCCCTGACTCACTGGGGGGAAAATCAGCTTGAGGTCAACTATAAATTTAATAGTCAGCTCAGTAGGGCTGTCCTGTTTTTAAAGAAGAGGGAAGTGAAAAAATGATTTCATTCACCAGATTTTAGAAATGAGAAGAATAGGGGTGATTCTTTAATAATAGAGAAAAAAACAGATCAAAGATGAGGTGAAGCGCGAAAGATGGAGATAAAGACAGGCATTGTGGGAGGCCGAGGGAGAATGAAGGAAGAAAGAAAAATAAGAAAGAAAGGTAAAATTTGGAGTTTGTGTTACCCCAAGTAAATATGTGGGCCAGACCCCTGGCTTTAGATTTCAGGTTTTAGATACGCCTTCACCGTGTGAGATGACAGTTATTCATTGCTCATCAACAGGGCTTTACCCTTAACGATGTTCAGAGGCTCTTTCTACATAGTTTGCGGTTGAGTGCTAGGAAGAAAATAGTTTTCTTGGCTTCAGTGCTAGTGCCCTGGCCTCAAAAGGCAGAATTCCAGGGATGCCTATGACGGCTCACGCCTGATCCCAGGGAAGCCACCAAGCAGTCATCTGCACAGGACCCAGCAGCAAGCTCCCTGATTTCAGACACCTTGGCCTGCAGTCAAATGAGGTCTGGCTGTAGTTTTTACCCCTTGTCTGTGCCTACACAAAGAAAGGATTTGCTAAGTAAATTAATCATGTAAACAAGATGGCTAGAGAGCATTTAAAGTATTTAAGAAGATAAGGTTTTTTTTTTTTTAAGTACTTCCTTACCACCTACTTGTTTTCCAAAGAACGCATTTGCTAATAAACCAATATATTGAAGTCTGCTTTTCTGCCCCCCACCCACCCTTCAGCACTCTCCTAGGAAATACCTGATTCACCTCATTTTGGTTTCTATATGTGATTAGAAGCTTTGAAGTTGAATTTCTATATAATTATAAATTTCTTTATAATTTCCAGATTATTCACTCATATTTCAATGCTTTCTGTTTTAATTTTTTTTTAATCCAGATTTTGTTTGCGTTAAATAATACTTTTGCCTTCCATTTTCCTCAAATATTGCATGGTTATGTGACATCGGCACACCCCGCTCTGTGGTTAAAGGGTAATCTATTTCAATCCTTGGTATGATATGTTTCAGCCGGGATTCATTTATACATAGGAAGGTAGCGCTGGCTCAGTTCTGGACCAATCCTGCTCTGAGAGCTACCAAATGCCACAGCTGCCTGCCACACCTTGAAACCCACAAGCAGTAAGAAGAAAAAGAAAAATACCGGATGGTCTCACTCATAGCAGGAATTTAGAAAACCTAAATAAGGGACCAGGAAAAAGACTAATTATAATAAAGTAAAAATCAAAATCAACAAGCAACTACACACCAGAGACACACTATGGCGGCGAGGGGGAGGCGGGATTAGGGTCAAAAAAAGGGGTGGTAGGAATTGTATGGGGAATATAACCAAGATGAAAATGCATACATTGTGCAAAAATGAAAAATGATGTTAAAAAATATAGAAAAAAATTTGCAAGAGAACAGGTGGTGTAGAAGGAATAATTTTTGAATTGTGAGGCCTACCTTGTGTTGAAGTAAATTCCAGACAACTTGCAAATTCCTAGAATTTGACTCTCCTAGGGAGTATTTCAAGTGGACAAGATTAGATAGGATGATAAACACTTCTCATGTATATGTGCAAATTCTATTAGTACTGATTTCAGAGCATTTTCATTTATAGAAGACAATGATGCATAAGTAGAGCTCTTAAAAATTTTCTTCTGAGTCAGGGATTTAAGTAATATGTGTAGAGAAGGGCTAAGGTGTATGGCTGCAAAGGTAATCTAGACTGAATATAAAACTAAAAACTACATTTAATGGCTTAATCTGAAAGATCACCCTGGATTTAAAGATGCCATCTATTCTCTAAAAGTTAAAAAAATTATTAAATAGATCTCAACATGCAATAACAAAATATAATCTTATTAATTTGTCCAAAGATCAGTTCATTTTCTTCTCTGACTTCATTACTACTGATTTTCAGGCATTTTGATTGCATGATTTATAACTTGTGGCTCTTTATAATTTTCTTTATTGACATTCTCTTTATGACCTTCAAC